AAAAAAATATACATTACTATGGTAAGTTTTCTCAGGAAATGCAAAGAAACGAAAGAAGATTCTACAACTTTCTCAAAATATTGTAGATGTCTTATTAAATATTAACTTTATTAACTTATTTGGTTGTTAATTATAATAGTATATTTCGACTTGTAATTTTTTTGTTTATCAATGTAACATGGAATCTTACGTTTTTCGAGTAATTAAAGTGTAAATTTTAATAAACAGCTCAAAATTGTGCATAATGATTAGAAAAAAATTTTCGGATTCTAGTTTGTTTCTTTGCATTTCCTAAGAAAACTTACCATATTAAGGTATATATTTTTTTACACCATCAGAAAGTAGAGATTTCAACGAAGAAAAAGCCCACCGACGTTTCTAAAAAAGCAGATATTATGACGTGAGAATTTTCGATTGAAAATTAGGGTGCTTTTTCGATATTAAGTAAAAATAAGGTGAAAAAATAAATATTTCAAATCAAAAAAATTACAGCGTGTTTGGGACATAAATAGGTAAGTCTTCACCAAATTTCGTGAAAAAAAATTGTTTGTAAAAGATAAAAATAAAAAACCAAAAACTTGGTTATTTGAATTTTTCACATAAATTTTGAGGTTATGTGAAAAAAGTGTAAATACAAAAGTTGTAGATCTTTTTATTACCTACAACTTTGTCATTTAACTTTTTTCCATAAGACTTGTAGTTTTTCTGGAAATCAAGGGAAACCGTTTTTTACCCTTAAAAACTCACCCCCTACCCCTTCCCGACCTCAGATCGCCCGTAAATTATTTTCCTTTCATTTCTGTTATATTCTCTTTCTTTTCCAATGGGTTTCATCCTACTATAATTTTTTTTGGTTTCAAAAATTATCGACCCTGGTCTACACGTAAGTGGTTGGCAATGAACTATTTCAATTATTTTGTCCGTTTACCTAATTGGTCATTATTCCAAAGCTATCAACTAGTACTTGTAATAAAGTATAATGATATTAAATAAAGGCATGTCTTCATTTACTTCTGTAATTCAGTCTAATACTTTAATAATGATTTAGAAATCAAGCCTAACTTTAATTATTTATAAATATTTAGAAACATGGAGAAGATTAATTAATGAACTTTATATTTCGATAAAATTCAAATCGATTAAAATTTGAATTTTTTCAAGGACTCGTAACATATGGTCTTCTATTTAGAATCTGTTTTAGATTTACAATATGTTATTCCGATGTACTTGTCATAGTAATACTGCTTTTTTCTAGGCTCTTATTGGTTATCAACCTAGCGATGAAATTCGTTGGCTTTGTGGAGGTTCTCTTATAAGTGAAAATTTTGTTCTCACTTCTGCAGTTTGCTTGTTTACAATGCATGAGTAAGTAAATTTATGTATCGTGTCTTGCAAAGCAGTGCATAAGTGATTACGGTAGTTGTAGTAGATATGCCATCTTTATAAATTAAATTTAGTACAATTTTTTGTAATCGGTAAAGGACCCCGCATGTTCCTTTATGAAAAGTATAGCATCTGTATACCCGAATGGATGGCTGATTCGGATTCAGTAACCCCCACAATTTAAGAAATATGTGTTTTGGATAGATTGCATTGGCTTCTCTTTATTTGACCCTACAATGAGTCTTCTTCAATTTATACCTCGCGGTACTATAATTCCTACCTTTCGGCGACTCTATTTCGAAAAATATAATTTTCTCAGCTTAGTGCCTATGACAACTTTTTATCTAAGCTTCGAGAACTATTCAAATCCAAATTTTCAGAACTATCGGCTGGAAGCCATTTCCCATAAGGAACCTGCGGGGTCATTTGTTGCAGGTGATTAAAAATTTGAAGTGTTCGTTTTATACATACTACATTTATTAATCTACGAAATTTTCAGCGGCTATGCGAAACTGGTAAGGATTGGTTTCACAAACAAGACAGATCCCACTCATATGCTAGAACGAACTGTTAGTGAAATAATCCCCCATCCCGAATACAACGAGAATAAATACCACGATATCGGTCTCTTGAGGCTCTCGACGGACATAAACTTTAACACCTACGTACGGCCAGCGTGTCTTCAAACAGAATATTATATTCCCCATATCTTAGCCATAGCCTCGGGATGGGGGGGCTTTAATATTACAGAAGATGGTAGCAACGATTTATTGGCAACAGTGTTAGAATTTTATAGTGTAAATGAATGTAATAACACGTATAAGCGAGGCATTGCAGTCCGTGGTAAATTGAAAGATGGAATTGTTGATGATTTTATGATTTGCGCCGGGATCTCTAAATCAGTAAGGAGTACATGTCAGGTAAGGCACATACTTTTTTCAAATTATGTTTCTAGTGCGTATTTACTTCCTGATTCTCATTCAATCTCTTCATCTAATACCACAAACGTGCATATACTTCCAGTCAAAGGTAAAATATAATTTAAGTAAAAAAATACATTACAAATTAAAACTCTTATAAATATACTAATTAAAAACTTTTATCCACTATGACAAAACTGAGTGTTAAATTCTTGCACAGCATAAAACAATTTTTAAGGGAATGCTTTTTAATTTCTATTTTGTAACATTCACAGTCTAACATGAAGTGAAACACTATTACGAACCCTTATTGCCAGTTAATTTAATTTTGATTGTGTCAGTCGATGGTGGTTTGTTCTAACTGGAGCGAGAAGATATTAACATCCCCGTGATTTTCGGCTAAAGCAAAGTAAACGTATAGGTAAGGAGCAGCAAAATGCCAAAATACTGTAGACAATGATGTCTGTTTAAAATAGCTATAGTTAATTGTTTTTCTTTGTAAATACATTTTTTTTATTAGAATGGCTAGAGAATTGACCAATTTTCCTTACTGCCGCCTGCAGGCTTGGCAATTTTGCTTGGTACACTTCCAAAAGCATGGATTTCAACTTGCTGGACTATGCATTTACCATGTCTACAAATTAGAAACAATCGGTCACGGGTCGTCCATTTAAGACGCATAGCTAAATATTTGCTAAATAATTCTATAGAATTCACTCTTTCTTCGAACTCTAAAATGATCAAAAATATTCGAGGCCTGTTGGTCTTTGTTTTAGTTACATCAACAACCAGAATTGTTTCTTTGTGCTCTATGTCACTTACTTTTAAATTCAAAAGTTCTATTAAAGTACAAAAAATGTATTGTCTAGTTAGAATTGGTTACTATTGCACCATTATTTAATAAGTACATATGTTTTTTATTTTAGGGTGATGGTGGTGGCCCTCTTCAGGTATACCACCAAGAAACCGACGAAATTAAATGTATGTACGATATTATCGGAGTGATTTCCTTTGGAAAAGCGTGCGGTTTGGTGAAAAATGTTCCAGATGTATTCACCAGGGTGTCAGCATATATAAAATGGATAGAAGATATTGTGTGGCCGGTCTAAAATGTATTTTGTTATTTTACTTTAATATTTTCATTGTATTTTACAATGTAAGATTTTTTTCAATAAATGGGTTGAAGAAAAACGATAGCTCTTCTTGTGAATCTATACGTGGAGAAGTTCTAAAACCGTTATACATACAAAGATTTCAATATTTGAAAAATGTATATACAAGGTGTTCCATTAAAAACGGGGAACAGAGCAGTTACAGTTCTTTACCGAGATACAGGATGTTTCATATGAAATGTTTCTATAATTTCTTGCTATTGCCTAAGAACCATTACAGATATTAGATGAAAGAAATTAGGGAAATCCGTTTCAACAGACGACAAATTGCGAAATGTAATTAGTTTTCTATAATTAGATATATTAAATTATAAATAGGCCTTAGTATGATTCTTTTAAGGTTTCCTCTATTTAGTTATTAGTTGGCAACGGTCTGGTGGTATTTATCAAAGTATACTCATTATTTATTATTACAACAAATAATGAGTTCAAAATTATAAGACCTGTTTGATAGCATGAAAGTAAATTATTTCTCGAAATGTGTACCTACTAAGCCTTCTTCTTTTTTCTTGCAGAATTGAAACTATCATTAATAGAAACGAAAGTTGATATTTTAATCATTTTTTTTAATCAGAATATTGCTTTCCACAAAATAAAAATCAAAAGGTCATGGTGTCATCAAAGCTGATACTATACAAGTATGGGAGATTAATTTAATTTCTCGGAAACAACATGTCTGTCATGGTTAACTATAGCGTGCTTTTATTTGTTTTCATTCTTCCTTGCGATTCTTTTACCATTTTAAATAAAGGTAAGCTAATTTACTTAATGCAGACTATGTTTTATATTACATAATATAATTAATATAAATATCAATAATTACTAACGGCCCGTCCCGGCTTCGCACGGGTTGGTGGACATTTATTTTAAAAATTTTGGGATATAAAAAATATAGCCTATGTTACTCAGGGATAATGTAGCATTCTAATGGTGAAAGAATTATCGAAATCCGTCCAGTAGTTTTTGAGTTTATTCGTAACAAACATACATACAAAAATACAAATCTTTCCTCTTTATAATATTAGTATAGATTATCAAGTAGATAGATGTATCTGAAAGTATATGTATACACTAGTTATTTATGTGCCAAAAATATAAGTTATTTGTTAATATTCATGTCGAAAGTACAATTATTAAATGTTGATATTTCGGTTAATTAATATTTGCGTTATGTCATCAATAATATTGGGTTCATTTCCAGAAGTTTTAGATTGGTTTTCTATATTTTAATTCCTTTATCCTGAATAGGATTTTCGACTGTTTGCCGCGGTAAACTTTCATCACCTGTGATATTTAAAACTTGTGAAATTTCCACCTCCATCTATCAGTAATGTGACTGAAGTCCTGGATAACAATGACCTTACCGGTTCTGTTGAGTAAGGTAATTTTAGACATCTAGCTATTTTGCAAGAAACATTTCCTGTTGAATGCATTCTAATAGATTGCGTGTTTTTGTGTTAGGAATGTTTATTATTAGCATATACTCCGCGTCGAAATTATAGAGAGTGATTTAGACATAATATATAAACACTATTACCATAATGCGTATAAAATATAGAATGATTTTTATACGGTTCAATATTATTTATCTTTGTGCCGCTCGCTACGCACATCGATAGAATCTATAATCGTCTATAGACTGAGTTACACTGAACGTCGATCTATATTCTATCTCTGTCTTTTGCACTTGGTAGGGAATAGGGAAATGCTTTTTTAGTGGGTGTAAACGGACTTGATTTACCCGTCCTGAGAAACGTCATAGCATAAGCGTAGACGAGGGGTCTAATTCCATGGCTATAATAAATTTATAAATTAAAAAAACACAACTGGGACGTTTTAAAATGCTGTAATAATTAAAATGGATCAAAGTGCCGGTTATAGCAAACCGTAAAAAATATTAGATGTTATGTTTTATTATCTTTTTTCAATATTTTCTATATCTTGTTGCCTTTTACGCAGACACGCCAATGGATTTTCGTTCCCGGCACGCTTCATCCCCCTTACTAGTCCAAAAGCTAGCGATGAGTCACTCTCTATAATTTCGACCGCGGAGTATAAGTACATTCTTATCTTCCACATTAACTACGGACAGTTTTATTCATTTGTTATGGCGACATCCGCCCGCCGCCCAAAGCAATTACTAGAAAGAATTACTACGACATAGAATTAGGTAACTAAGTTGTCAAAATTTTCAAGCCAAATTGTTTTCATGGGTCAATTCTTATGGAGTCTTATCTGTTATCCATCGCATTAAAAATAATTAAATTACACAAAGTATTTTAAAAGTTATTAAAAAAAATCGATTTTCAGGGGTATCCTTTAGAAGCCTGTATCTCCATAGGGGGACCCTGTATCTCCATAGGGGGACCCTCTAGGGAAAATTTGTATAGGAACTTGTCATGTTATTTTAACGTCCCCTGTATAAATCCGAGAGTTTGCCCACATATTCTGAGACACCTGGTATATTTAATGCTCACAACAGTGTTGATAACCAAGAGCAAATTTTTAATAGAAGCTTCGAATCATAATTATCCTGCTATAAGGATATTTTCGGCAATTCTTAAACAGGCATTTCGAAAATTTGATATGAAGAGGAGGACCAGTGGCATGGCCTCCTCGATTACCAGATTTACCATTGTGTGAAAGTTTGATAAATTTATTCCTGATAAGATTCTAGAAATAGTTGCCTAAATCTTATGTTACTTTACCGAGCTACACTACTGGACAAAAGTAAAGCAACAAACTGCCAATTTTGCATTTTTAATTTTTTATAAATTTAAAATTGGGGGATGACAAGAAATAAACTTTTATACGAATGGTTCGTAAATCTTAAATGTAATTGTCGCCCATAATAAACAGAAAAAAATCATTTGTCAATTTATTAGGTATTATTATTGTTATTATGTATTAAACATTAGGTACTGGGTTATAAAGTAATAGGACAAAAGTAAAACAATATTATTTAATTAACAAAAAATCTGGCAAATATGTTAACAACAACTAAATAATCCCAACTTAAGACTTAATTATTAATGTTTGATTGCATAACCGTTATTTGCAATAACTTTTGCACCCTTCTGGGCATGAGCAAGATCAACTTTTGGATAACGTTTTCTGATATACTTTGCCAAATTTCAATTATTTTATTCTAAGCTTCTTTGTTTCTTAACGTTTCTGTCCTTATCCTTCGTTCTACTTCTTCCCACAAGTTCTCAATGGGATTTAAGTCAGATGATTGTGATGGCCAATCCAAAACTCGTACATTATTACCACGAAACCAACCTTTCTATGCTGCGAGGTATGTTTAGGATCATTGTCCTGCTGAAATATGAATGTCAAAGGTATTTCCCATTCTGCATATGGCATCATAACGTTCTGAAGGGTATTTGTATACACAAAACGATCCATAATTCCATCAATGAAATGGATAGGACCCATTCGGTTTAAGAAAAAACATCCCCATAAAAATACAGTTCCACCGCCATGCTTAACAGTTGGTGTCACATAAGCAGGATTGAATCTCTGATTTATGGGTGTCCTTACGCGACGCATACCATCAGAATTGAAAATGTTGTAACGTATTTCATCGCTAAATAATACTCTTTTCCAGTCATTTTCAATCCAAGTCAAATGAGCTCTGACAAACTCTAGCCTGGCAGCTCTATTCCTTGCCGAAATTAAAGGTTTCTTGGCCGGCCTTTTCCTAAAAAACTTCCCCTCGACTAAATTTCTACGAACTGTGCGCTCACAGATGTTTAAATTTGCAATATCCGCCATAATTCTGGGACCTGACTTCCATGGATCCGCGCGACAAGTGAGTTTAATCAATCTGTTGTCATTTGCTGATGTTTTTCTAGGTCTGCCCGATTTCGGCATGTCATTTAAATGTCCTTTTTCTTGAAATTTGGACAATATCCTCGAAACTGTGTATCTGCCCACTTCAAACCGACGTGCAATGTTTGCCTGACTCCCCGTTATTAAACGCATAGCAATACCTTTAGGCATTTTGAGGAAACTTGTTAATACCGCAGGATTAACGATTATTCACTTAAACATTAAAGAAGAACAAATATCGAAAATAATAAATAAAATTAATAACTGTTGCTTTACTTTTCTCCGCTTAAAATTAGCACACTTAAGACAAAAACCGTATAACAACAAAACTGAACTGTCAAACCTAAAACCAAATAATTGAATAACAGCAGCCTACTACGAAGCACTAGAAATTACGTTATTTTCTTCATTTTTTGTTATCAACTTTAGACAAAGTGAAAAATGCAATTTTTATGTAAATGTTGCTTTACTTTTGTCCAATAATGTAGATCAGCCACGACGTAGTTGCCTAAGTAAGAAGTGATTAGTTTGTTAATATTATCGACGCATATGTTGCAGGAGACAAATGTTCTTTGCAAGATGGCGTCGGAGGCAAGTGCAAACTTATAAAGGAATGTCCGACCGCTATGCAGCTGATAGAGACAGGAGTTTTTCCGGTTATATGCGGATACGAAGGAACTGAATCAATTGTGTGTTGCAAGGAAGATGAAGGTAGTGAAAATTATCAATACCACCACGACACCTAATCCAGCTATTAGCAGAACACCTGGAGATATAAGCAAACAAAGTATAATATTAGTTTAGTCGCGTTAATAACATTAAAAGAATTTAATTTTTTGTACGAATAATAAAAATTAGAACTAGGAATTTGTTTCAGTATTCTGCTTACTAGCAATAACTAAATAATTTCCAGAATGCAAGGAATATGCGAAGTATGCTTACGAAAAAATCTTGGCTCCCAAGCTTGTTTCAGAGAAACAGACTCGTTATGGGGAGTAACCTGGCAGCAAGAAGGGAATTTCTGCATATGGAATGTCACTTTTGTAATTATTACCATCAATATCATTATAAATGTCCTCATCTTCATACCTCATAGCTACCTACTATCTTACATACAGTATTGGGATGATGAGCAGCCTTGAAATTTTTAAAATGTTTCAATATTAATAATAATTTATCCCATTTATATCTCGAATGCTAAATAAATGGAAATACTTCTTTTGGCATTCACCGACGTCTTATTTAATTCAGACTTTTATGTAATTCAATCTAAATCACTGATCGAAAGGCTTTGCGCGTACAAGTCAACAGGAATAAGTTTGCGGGTGAGAATGTGCAAAGGTGAAGGTTCCCATTCTTCTCCTTGAGGTGCTCTTGTATTCCGTCCAGAGCACTTTGTTAATAAAGTTAAGCCCAGCTAACAATTTCATGTTCTATAAAAATCGTAAGAACGTTTCCAGAGCAAATTTTATAGAGCAATGTTTGTTCTAAGTACATTTTCAAAACGTTCTTACAACACTTATACCATAAAAATGGGCTCCGTTCTATAGAACTTTTTGTTCGTTAAACTGTTCTGTAAGGTCTGCAGCAAATATTTATAGAGTTGTTGAATAAACGTTCTCACAGGTCTTAAAGAATTTTTATAACACAGTTACAAAGCAGTTCTAAAATGCCGTCTTAGAATTCTTGAATAGAACTAACAAAAAACTCTGATATAATTATTCTTTAGCAGCGCACATTATTTCGTTATACAATTTCTGTGTTGCATGGTATCCTATTTAGAGAACTTTAAAATCGTTTAATTGTATCTTTTAAAAACAAAATGTTTCTGTATCGCATCACAACGCTGTACATGTCAGAAATAATACCAAGATGGACCTAATCAACCTGCATAAGAGTACTCATGTCATTAAGAATTGCTTAGTTGATTTGTATAGAGTCCATCAGGGAGCAGTACATTTTAACGCGGAAAAAGCTTTATCGTGAAATATGTGGTACATAATGGTAATTTTTTTACGCGTTCTCAGTTTACCTTATATTTAAATAATCAGAAAGTAAATATAATCCATATTATTGATATCATTTCACCTATTTATATTGTATATATTTTTAATTATGATTTTTTTTCTTTCTTCACAATATGGCGACAGAAAGAAAGGCTTTATCTTGTACTTTCAATATGGATTCTCACTAATATAACATTTTGTGTCGATCGCAATGATTATAGAGCAAATATGCGTAGAAAGCAGCTACTATAACAGATCTATGCCATTTAATATCCACAATATCGAAAATAAGTTCTAGTTATATTTTATTTGAGGCGTGTTCACTGTTCATATTTGTTTTTTTTTTGTTTTATTGGGATTTTCGCCTCAACTTGAAACTATTCTATTCTAACAGTAGGTTGACAAAATTGTATTGTCGTAATTTCAATTATTTTAATCTTGTTTAATAAAATTATTTAACTTCAGCATCTAGAAGTGTAAAAGAATAAGGTTTGGAGTGGTCGAAATTAAATATGTTACTAAATTTCTATAAGAAAAAATCAATTTCTATTAGTAATCAAATAAGTCTCATCTATCGTAATGAAATTATCTTTCAGCAATCAGATAATTTCTATAAGTCACGACCATATTATACAAATTTCCCAGTTACGCTTTGATCAAAATATTTCGTCCTTTTATAGGCAGGTCTTGTTAGATGTGGGCCTAGTATCTATATCTACATAGATAAATTATTTTCTTGAGAAAATGTTAATACGCCAAAATAATTAAGCTTCAATATGATAACGTTAAAAATTATTTACTTGCTTGATATATGTAATGACATTTAAAAAAAAACACGTCAATATAAATCAAGTTTACATTCAAAAATAGATTGAAAAAATCAATGTTTTATAACAATTTTAATCCCGTATTTAAAGAATTTCATAAATAAGGGATTAAAATTGGTAATTTAAAAAAAATGTCATCACATATATCAAGCAAGTACCTAAATAATTTTTAACGTAATTATTTTCACGTATTAACATTTTCTCAAGAAAATAATTTTTATATGTAGGTATAATAGTGATATTATTTTCAACAAGATATGTTGCACAAAACTCGTTCACCCAACACATCAAAATAAACTCTTGCAACATGGCGTCAAATAAAGTATGGTTACCTATATGGTATTGTAGTTCTATATAGCGTTTTTATGGAACAAAAAGGCTTGTATTACTTATTTGCTCTATAATAATTTTATAACAACTGTATTATTATTCCCTATAACTGCCTTAAAGAGCTTTTTCTCTTAAGTTCGATAGCAGCTTCCATATCTGTAATTTGTTATCCGCAGCAGAATGGTAACTTTGCAACCCCTTACACAATAGTTTTCTAAAGAAACTATAAGCGACATTACGGAATAATTTTATAACAGAGTCACAAGAGATGGTATAATTCTATAAGGCACTATTTTGCATCGGTTTTACAATTATTTAATTCTATAAGCACCGTTGCTGTAAAATTGTGTTACTGTATACACTTATAGGGCTACATTAGCAGTTATCTTATAAATGCTCTATAAATTATGCTCTAAGAACGTTCTTGCCACAAATTTATAAAACAATTCAGTTTCTGAAGGCAAAATAGTCTCATGTGCCACTTTAATGCAACAATTCAGTGTTCTAGATACAACTATAAAACATTAACAGAATATAAAACTCGCATTACTCTAAATTTATAGAACTATTTTGCCAGCTGGGGGTTCTGCTGCACTTCGATTTAGGAACCAATTGCAAAATTCCAGACGATTGGGGAAATCAGCTGGTTCTAAAGCTTAAACTTTTTCAAAATGGTACAGGTTGAGTGAATTCTCGCGCAATATCCGCTAAACTTTGGTTTGTGATATCTCCAATCGCCTTGAAATTGCTCTTGTGGAAATAGTAGGCTACTCCTCGACTAAATTTAAAACAGCTTCTATCCCATTTAAGTCGTTTTGTCGATGTCCTGCACGTTCTCTGCGCGGTATGATAGACCCCGTGTTACGAAGACGTTGGACGGCTTGCATAATTGTCCGCGGGCTTGGGAAGTTCTGTCTATAAGGGAAATGTCTCCGATATTCAATTGCAGCGACATTTGCGTTCTGTACACACTCTCCGTATAAAATCACCATATCCACATATTCGGCATTCGTATACAAAGCCTTCACAACCGACACTTTAAACAATCCGAAATAAACGGTTTCGTGTGTCTTTCCAATCCACATCCCCTCTCCATCTGTATGGTGTGATCACTCCTTTGCGGGAAAAATGCGGGATATATGGAGGGTAGTAGGTTTGAATAAACGCTTAAATTGTTAATGGTTTTGTAACCGTGTGTAGTGTATTTTGTATATTTTGGTATTTAGTGTGCCGACTTCTTTATTTGATAAAATACAAACAGTTACAGTTACAGATAGTTACAAACAGGTAACTACATCTGCTTTATTTATTTTCATTTAACGAAAGTTGACTTCGAGAAATCAGGCTTGTTAAAACATTTTGCACTGTTAATACAATTGTTAAAATTATTTATAATAAAATGCAGCATGCTCCTTTATTTTCTTGCATTTTATTGGTTTCGTACATATGTATACGTATACTAAAGCGGATAGTGGATACGTTTAACGCGGAACCCAAGGTAAATGTGAATCACAGATTACGATGTGAACTTGGCAACGCTATTCGCTTCAGCTGACGACTGTTTCGTGACATTACGTTACAAAATTTTCCGAGCATCCGGGCATCTGGCTGGACCGCCCTCTTAGCGGGAGTTATAGGTTGATCTTTTTAATTTTTAAAAGTCGAGTAAAAATTTTTTTTCTGATTTTCCGTCTTTATTAGGCCTTCCGAATACGTAGTTAAAATTAATGACATTATGACTGAATCACCCGGTATACATCAAATGTTTGTTAATAAATCTACGAGAAACTATTTTTCTTTTTTAATTATAATATTAATTCGTCATTGGGCAAAACTTGATAGACTAGAATTTGAATACTTATTGTAGTATTTGAGAAATAAAATATTAGTTGTGGATATAATAGACCTTAATACGGTTTTTTGATGGGGTAATCTGTTTCTTTTGTCCAGAAATTAGATGGATCGACCGGTGCAAATATTCGTATGTACTGAGGTAACCCAGTATGCTCTACTACGAGTATATCATATTTAATTAACTCAAAATTACTACAGGAACCCGTTCGATGGTTTGGAAATAATTTATTTCTAAAAATATGAGCTCTATTCATTTCACTATAATATTATAAACTGTACTTAAAGAAAAATAATGGAAGATTATCATTAGGTACTACATTTAATAACCCACTCAACTAGAGCTTTGTTTTGGTTCCGACAGAGAATGGTTCTAGGACGGTTTAACTCAGTTGACCATTCCATTCATAAGAACATCTAAACCAAGACATACTGACAATACACTTGGGTAACTATTTTGAACTGTTCTAAGACTTCCGCTGACAGAACCAAAACAAGCCTTAGATTATTAATAGCATTAGTTTAGTTATAGTATTAGTTTATGACAGAGATCAAGTGTTTAACTGCAGCGTGTTTTTATTTGTTTTCATTATTTCCACTGATTCCTTTGACACTTTGTATAATGGTGAGTAATTTTAAATGGGGGGTCATATTTATCTTTGAACTTTAGAAACACGTATCATAAGAATATTCAAATTCAGTAATGAAAACTACATTGCAACTGATATGGAAATCGGTAATGTCCTAGTGGCAACAAGGTTTAAAAAACTTTAAAATAACATATATAGTCTTGGTTGATGTAACGTTAAAGGTTGAAAATGTAAGGCCTTAAAGTTCCACCAAATTTTTGGCGTCAAAGCAAAGTCTGCACGTGCCTGCGATTTGAAGTAACTTGAAATTGTTAAGTTATGTAGAAGCATCAAAGGAGTTATTGCAGTGAATTAACAATAAAATTCTGGTTAAAAATAACGATGACTAACGGAACTTTTCAACGGTATCAATAAAGTCATTTGAACCTTCGTGTTTTCACCGGTATGTGAATCCGAAGAAACTGTTCCCATCGTGTGTTGAGAGATGATGAAATTAAAAAGTTTCCTTAATAACATATTTTTTGTTCTCCCTCTCTCTTCGCCTTTTTAGTCTATTCAAACTGTAGCTATAAACACTATAAATTTATTGTCATTATTATATTCATTTAACAATTCTGTTTATAAGATTTAGGTACCTATACTAATGGAATAACACAGAGTAAACAAAAATAAATTATCGAAGGTCTCGATATTGTCCATGTTGTTTACTGCAAAAATCGGCACGATTAATTTAGTTCCTTCTGAGTAACATGTCTATCAGGCTTGACTATGGCTCGCCTTTATGTGTTTTTTTTTCTTTGTTGCAGTTCTTCTGCCACTTTATATAAAGGTGAGTAGTTTATTGTATCACACAATATAACAAAATTGCATAATTTCTTGTTATATTAAATCATTAAAACAAATATTGCGAAAATAATATACAGGGTGGTCCAGATTTTAATAGACAAACTTCGGGAAACTACTAAACAACAAAAATTAACATATTAGTTTGCTCTATGAACATAGGCGCAGAAAGCCACCGTTTATGAGATACAGGGCGTTGAAATTTACAAAAATAAAACAATTTTTTTAAATATCTGGAAAACCGCTTCATCAAATTTATCCAAATTTGGTACACATTCTTTTTCAAATATTTCTCCTAGTTCTGTATGTAGACAGTCCAAATTCAAAAACCAGTGCCGGAGAAACAAGGATATCGTTTCCTTATTTAAAGTAAAACTTCTACGCCAATGAATTAATTGGTAATATGAATACATTTTATAACAGTCTGAAACATTTCGGATGAAAAAACAGTCTTTTAGTTTTGTCGAAAAGTGAATGGTTTACGAGTTATGAAACATATTATCCAAGTAAACAAAACGTTGAAATAGGGAAAAATATATAAAACAAACTTGGGTGGTCCAGATTTTAATAGACAAACTTCGAGAAAAACAACAAAAATTAATATCACCTTATCAATATCAACGTAAAAATCAATAAAATGTATTCATATTACCAATTAATTCAGTGGCGTAGAAGTTTTACTTTAAATAGGGAAACGATATCCTTGTCTCTCCGCCACTAGTTTTTGAATTTGGACTGTATGCATACAGAACTAGGAGAAATATCTGAAAAAAATGTGTATCAAATTTGAATAAAAATGAAGTGGTTTTCCAGATATTTAAAAAAATTGTTTTATTTTTGATAATTTCAACGCCCTGTATCTCATAAACGGTGGTTTTCTGCGCCTATGTTCATAGAGCAAAGTTAATTTTTGCTGTTTAGTACTTTCCCGAAGTTTGTCTATTAAAATCTGGACCACCCTGTATAAAAGCTAATAGTTTCTTAATATTGTTTGTTTATGCTTCAGGAGACAAATGTTCTATGCAAGATGGCGGCGAGGGCACGTGCATGCTTATAAAGGAATGTTCGACCGCTGTGCAACTTATAAACACAGGTGTTAATCCAATCATATGTGGATTCGAAGGAATTGATCTGATTGTTTGCTGCAAATATGACGAGGAGGTAGGAATGGCTAATACCACCACGACAACCAATCGAGTTCTTGGCAGAACACCAGGAGATAAAAGCAAACAAAGTAAAACTTTAACTTTTTCGCGTTAAAGATATTAAGAGTATTTGCAAAAGTTTTCTTTTGTTTACTAACATCAAAATTATTTTCAGAATGCAAGGAATATGCGGATTACGCCTACAAAAAGATTGAACCTCCTACATTATTGCTATATCCTCATTTTACAAAAAATCTTGTGTGTGATATTCCGAGAAACAGGCTTGTTGTGGGGAGTACTCAGACATCAAGAAAGGAATTTCCTCATATGGTATGCATCTTCATTATCGTTATCAATATTAGTCTCTATACAAATATTAACTGTTGTTTATATACTAACTGCGAAACCATTAACATATATAACGTATTTTCATCATCAATGCATTGATTCTTCAAATTATATAATTTGTGCGAGTGGCTGTTAGTAGTTGGTGTAATAGTATTAAAGTTTTACATGATATCTTTTAACGGCTTCTAATTAAGTAGTTTTGGTTGAACTGGGTACCACTCTTATAAGAGCTGCATTTTTGTAACTAAAGTTCTTACTTGGAATGGACATTGAATTCCATAAAAATAGCTGCTTGCCACATGATTGGATTACGCTTCTTGACAGATCGAAAGCCATTTCGCTTTCTTCCTCAGAAGAAACTTTGAAACTGGAGACGAAGTCCTCTGGTTAGTATTTATACCAACACACAGCCAATATAAATATCAACGAGAGGACTTAATCTCCACTTTCAGATTTTCTTCAGAAGAAACTTTGAAGCTGGAGATTAAGTCCTCTGGTTGGTATACAGCCAATATAAATGTCTTCTGAACAAATATCGAAGCCTAAATGGACAATGTGGTAACTAACCTAGAAACTTTGAAAGGTATTGCTTATAAACTTAGGCTTGAACTGCTTTTACTCACTTCAGTCTATTAATCTGATAGTGGTTTCAAAAATGGAACGTAATCTAGATGTTTAACCATTGCTGACCCTATTGCAAATGTACAGAGACATGGATAAAGCTTAATAAAATTATTACCTCCATCAGTATACATACTTCTAATCAGATAAAAATGAAGTTTTGTATGGGGTGTTAATTGTTTAAAAGTCATATACGTATATATAAATATTCAGAATCAAATTTTAAAATTTTTATTTCTAGGCTCTTGTTGGTTATAAACCTAAAGATGAAGAAGAATATGAAGAAGTTATTTGGCAATGTGGAGGCTCCCTCATAAGTGAAAACTTTATTTTGACAGCCGCACATTGCACAGTTTCACGTACAATGTAAGTACAACGTTTATACACGGTGTCCGGAAACTACGAGCCAAAGAAATTGAGGGATGGCTCTTTTTCAAAAAATCAATATTAAGACAGTTACATGTTTAAATAACTATTCTAAAGCCTTGAACAGTTTGCATAAATCAGAAAACTGATCGTAGTATTTTTGATTAAAGGTTTTCGAAAAGTTAGACAAAAATAATTAGAAAAACCTTAAGAAAAGGATTCCCTTGTTCCAAGTCTATAACATTAACGGTCTCAATGCTTTGCGATTTTATTTTGCGACTATTTCCATTCAAATCTGGGTAATTATTAATTATTTTTATTATTAAAAATAATTCCGTTTTTAGAGGTGAACCAAAATATTAAATAAGTTTTTGTTCGGAGACTGTTAACGTTATCAATACGGAAAAAGAAAATCGATTTGTAATATTTTTTTAATGACTTTAATACCAGTTAATTCAATTTCTTGAAAAATGTCAAACAGAAAAATTTTATAGGTAACCAATTTTTTAATCTATAAAAGTCACTTGAGTCTGTTAGGATTTTAGAAATTCAATGATGTTTTCTTCTTTTTTCTGGTAGATGCAGTTGGTTAGCAATAATAAGCGTACCTAATTTGATGGCAACCAGTGGCGGCTCGTGAAGGAGGACTCTGGGACTCCGCCCCCACCAGATATTTTCAAATTATAAACTTAAAATAATGTATTTATTTAAATTAATAAGAAATCTAAATAGCATGCATTCAATATCTCTTGGATGTTAGGTTGGTTGCATAAAGTGCATGTACTCCGTGAACGTAGCTCAAATTAATGCAATCTGCCATCTATGATCGTACCAAAAAGTTATGTTTAACCGCGCGCGCAATCCCCACTCCATTGCGGACCGTGAAATCTGAGTCCATCGTGCAAGCATATTTTTACATATGATTGGACAAATTGGCACGTGGAGGGGATAGGCGACGATAGGCTCGCGCGCTTTGTTTTGGGACTCCATGAGGCAGTAACCCGTATCACTGAAGTGTGGTTATATGTGTTTTGTTTTTGCTTTGGCGCTTTTTAAGACATTATATTTTATAAGTTTAAGTTTAAAATGAGGGTTTGTGAAATAAAAAAACTTGTTATTAGTAATTTAAGTTTAGAGGAAAAAGTCGAATTGAAAAATAACGGACGTCCAACGCCAGTGTTGAATTTAGTTGAGGTGCAGAAAGTGCAAAAAGTGGGCCGGCTTTCGCAAATTTGATAAAAACATTTAT